GCACTGTCAGACGCTCCAGACCATAAGATGCTTTTGGGGAGAAAAACAAGGGGGGAAAAAATATGTCTCTGCCTCCCAGCCTCCTTGCAACAAATAGCAAACAGCCTGGTCAGATTCAGCATAGCCTGATTTAGCACGAGCAGCTGATTGGCGATTGGATCAGCCTCCTGGAATACCACCGATCAGCTGTTCCAGGCTGTGAGGATCACTGCCCATTGCCACCTCTGCGCGCCCAATTTTCGGTATCCGCACGCCCCATTTTCAGCCTCTGTGCGTCCCGTTTTCGGCCTGTTCCAGGTGGCAAGAATCGCCACCGATCGCCACCGCCACCATTCTAAATCAGGCTGTGCTGAAGCTGACCATATTGTTTGCTGTTTGCTGCAAGAAGGCAAATTGCTGGGAGGCAGAGGCTGAAGGGTGGGGGCCAGCGGGTGGGCGGGGATTTGGCAACATTTACTCTAACAGTGGTCGCTAACCAGTGGGCTGCGAGAACATTTTGGTGGTCCGCAGAGAAATGTCATCCCCCAGAGTACCTCCCCAAAGCAATTAATCCAGGCTGCACAGGAACACAAGGCTGCACCGCCACCCACATGGCCCGTGGGAACTCTTCCCACCCACTCACTCCTTACCTGGCAAAGTTGCCTGCTAAGTTGCTATTTTTACTTTCTTTCTTTTTTTTCTGACCATCAACTGTTCTGCTGTGCCGGGAGATTTAGACTAGCTAGAAAACAGGAAATCATTACATTTCTTGCTTTTTAGCTATCTTTAGATCTTCCTTAGGACTGAAGTTTTTATGATTCAGTGCAGACTCACTGCAAGCAAATTTTATGTGACAGACTCAGGTAGCTGATGACCGATAGATAGATCTCTGAATGATTCTGTGAGCAACTCAATTTGCCTGCCTGCTTTGAATGTTTTTGGTAAAAGTTAGTCTTTTTTTATAAAAAAAATCAATATTTACATACATGGTGTGTTGTGAGTTAATTTTGTGAGTTTGCTTGCATGCAAATTTTATGTGACAGACTCAGGTAGCTGATGGCAGATAGATAGATCTCTAAATGATTCTGTGAGCAACTCAATCTGCCTGCCTGCTTTGCCTGATTTTGGGTAAAAGTTGCTCTTTTTTAACAAAAAAATCAATATTTACATAAATATTTATAATATTTACATACAAGCCATGCCCAGCCAGTCACATGACCACTAAGCCACACGACCACCAAGCCACACCCACAAATTAGGCCACGCCCACAGAACCGGTTGATAAGAAATTTGAATCCCACCCCTGCCTCTGTGTGTTTGTGTGTGTGAGAGAGCGGGAGAGAGAGAGAGGTTAGATCAGATCTCTCTCTCTCTGTCTCTCTCTCTCTCCCACCAACGTCAGCAAGCCACCATCAGTCAAAATTCATATTAGTGGTCCCCGGGATTTAAAATTATGAGTTTGGGGGTCCCTGAGGTCCAAAAGGTTGGCGACCCCTGCTCTATAAGACTCATATACATTTCCACCCACTTTTTTTTGGGGGGGGGGAGTGCTTCTTATAGTCTGAAAAATAATTGTATATACTGTATGTTTTTGGTGAGTTATGAAAAACCTGGGCTGTTGTTTCATAAAGATCGAACAGAGGAAGTACTGCACTTTCTCACAATTGTTGTGCATTAAGGGCATATATATTAGAGAAGATGCCTGGAAAACTCCTCCTCGGGATGTTGTACTGCGTATCTTTTGACCTTATCCACTCTTAATGGTCTTCATGGCGAAAAGCCTTTAAAATTTCTTGGAAACAGCAATGTGTCCAAGAATATAGTTTGTTTAGTCAACCGTTTCCAAACATACAAAAGGAGGATCTGTTGCTTTCATTCCCTAAGAACCTGAGAAAAAGCCAGTCGTTTTAAGGTGCCTGTTCTACACAGCTGCAGACAAAGCAGACATTAATAAAAGAAGTTTTGGAATGTGGTATATGCAGTTTTATCTGTTGGCTGATCCCATGAGTGCATGAGTCAAAAGTTTCGTGAATGATGAAAGCTCCCTATTTGCAAAATGTTCTACAGAAATTTCAGCAATTTTGAATTAAATACCTGGAGTAAAAAGCTGTTGTATGAATGGTTCTTAGTCACCGTGACCCTTATTTATTCATTTGAAGTTATTTGGATTGCAGCCTTCCTTAGTCCAGGGCCTTGCAGATGGGGTTAGCCTTTAAACTTAAATGCAAGTTTGGGAAAAATTGTAAATGCTTGTTTATTTTATTTTATTTATTTTTTGCCTGGGTTTTGAATTTTGTTGTTATAAACTCTAAATTGATGGCACAGTTCTTAATGCCAACAAATCAGTTATACAATCCTAATCAATTGTGAAGCTTCTGTGGCTTGTGTAACAATTATACACAAGTCCCAATCTACATAGTATAATTATTATTGATTTATTACATTTATATTTCATCTTTCTGAGAAATTACAGATGATATACATGAGTCTGCCCTCGCAACTCTCTCTTCCAAAAGCTACCCTATGTAGAATGTCTATACTATGGAGATTCACAATCTTCCAGGTCATGGTTGTCCCAAAGATGCTTTTCCAAAAAGCAACTGGACTTTATTTGGGGGGGGGGGTTCCTTGAGAATGTTTTGTTTATCATCCAAGAAACTTCTTCAGTTCTGACTCATAGGAGACAACAACCTGTTCTGTCTCACCTTTCTTCTTTCCAAAAGATGAAAGAGTACAAACTCACACAAACACAGGCAGGCAGGCTGGCTCGAACTTCACGGAGTTAATTCTTTGGAACTGATAACGTCCTTGGCATTCCAACACGCTCTGCCTGCCAAGTCCGAACTGATAACAAGTAAAAAGCTACTTACAGAAAATTACAAGGCAGACCACAAAATTCATTCACAAAGAAAACCTGAAGTAAGATCAAACTTTGTCCCGTACAAAGTTCAAGCCGACAACACACCCACTTTTATCCCCTGTGGGGTGTGGCTCAATGACTCAGCTCACTCTCTGACCCTCCCACACCTCCTACATTGCTGCTCACGTTTCTCCCTACGACGCTGCCTAGGATCAAGCCAACATTCTTCCTCTTGACTCCCTGTCAGGGGCTGCTCCGATATGCCTTCCTCCCGATTAATCTCAGGCTGTTCCTCTCGGTTGTCTGATGAAACCTGAGGCATTATCAGGGAGGAAGGCATTGCCAGAGAGGAAGGTCCTGGGGAGGAAGGCATTCCCTGTTCCTCCTCCTCATCTTCCGAGTCCTCTTCCTCTAACAGCACAGGCTCGGGAATCGGAGCCACAACAACAACCTATGTAGTAATTTAAAAAAAAACTTATTTCCAGTCCAGGTTCAATGTCTAAGGTAGCCAAACTAATATACTTGAGCTGTTAAATTCCCCACAGCTCAGGCAGCAGGACCAGTGGCAAGGAATTATGGGAACTGTAATTTAATACATCTGATTGCAACCAACTTGAACTGCCCATTTTCTTTTAAAGCCTTTGATGCTATTGGAATCTCTTTTCTGAGGCCAATTTATTTGTATTTTTGTAAATTGACTTTTCATAGAGACTGGAACTTGTCAGTTCTGGACTGGAACCCTGGCTTGCAGTGTAAAATATCATTTGCTTACTTACGTAAATATATTCTGCAACTGTTTTGCAGATTAGATTTTGCTATCTTGCATGTTAATACTACTCGGAGCTGTAGCTAACTCAAAAGTGAACCTTGGACAAATACTGAAAGATCATTCACTCCTTGTAATTTGAAGCCACCTGTTTCCAAATCTATGTAATATTCAAAACTGCAAGAAATCTAGAAAGTAGGAAGGTATTGGGTAGTTTTCTTGTAGGCAGTATTTCTTCACAATATTAATATAATCCTTTTTCTTGTTCGTGCCTGGATCCTGGCAAAGTTTTACAGAAGTGAATTTGGATGTACTGTGACTCAAATTCATTGACATAGTTACATTGATGCAAATTCCTGAAATGTCTCAATATTGTTGAACTGTAAATCTCTGAAGTCACAGGTCTGGTGTGGCTTCCGCTCCAGTTAAGAAGTTGGGGCAGCTCTTTCTTGCTGCAGTCTATTCTGTTTCCTGTTTCTACACACTGAAAGAAAAGTTTCCAATACTTAGAAGGAATGGAGAACTTGCTGTAAAAGAAATGCAGCCTTAGTCTCTGGCAGTTGTGTTTTACTCGGCGCTCCAAGCCTGTCCATGCTTTATTGCTCCGCTGGATTTGAATACCTAACCGTTCAGAATGCTCCATACTGGAATGCAATTTCGACCAAACTCTTTCTGGGTTACAGGGTGAGCATGCAGTAAACTATTATGCCGTTTATGTTGCCTGTAAATAAGATGTCATAGAAAATAGATAGATGTTTTTTTCAGTAGAGTATCTGAGGAGGATTTACTATTATAATGTTGGGGAAGGTGTGGTTCCATGATATGAAAGGACATATGAGAATGCTATGATCAAGTAGAAATATGAATTCTGGGTCTTTGTTTGGGGAGATAGCATGTGAAAGGACGTGAAACATAACTTTGATCTACCGGTTGCATCTTCTGTTGAAATCTGCCAAAACTTGGTTCAAATCATACACTTTCTCCATGGAGGAATTCCTATTTCTGAAAATGTGAATATGCCATTTGGTTGCTAGATCAAGGCAGACAGGTCAACTTGTAAGTCCAGCTGTTCTGTTGCCAGACAGCCTAACGCTAAAAATATGAGTTGTATGTCCACATTTCTTCTTGTACTTCTGACCTGTACTTGATTGTCTTTATCGAGGATATTAAGCAAGAGTAAGGCTCTGAGCTTTATATATACCCAGCAGAGTCCAGTATATATTTGATGAGATAACTAAAAATACAAAGCTTGAAAATGAGCAGGCTTTGCTAAAACGTGTTATCCAGAGGGACACTTGTCAGAAAATTGGGACTGGCGTCTGTCTGCTATGTGGCTTTGTAACTGTTGAATGTGTTTCTCTTATTTTACTTTTTTTTATTTACCCTCTTCTCCAGAATCCTGGACTCTTTTCCTCAAAAGCCCAGAATGGCAGTGGATGTAGCCATGCAATTCTACTTGCGAGCGCCCTCTTTGCGGAAAGAGAGCTTTACCTACAAAATAGCCCCAAAGATCAAGGCACCTTTGCGACCCTGCATCCATGTAAACAGCAGCCCGGAGCTGAACAAGCTGGGGTCAGAGGTCCAAGCTCTGCAGGGGAACAGAGTGAAGAAAAGGGTTTCTTTTGCGGACAGCAGGGGCTTGGCTCTGACAGTGGTGAAAGTCTTCTCAGAATTTGACGACCCCTTGGATATTCCCTTGAACATCACAGAACTAATAGACAATATCGTGGGCCTGACCACGGTGGATCACGATGACTTTGTCTTGGATTTCGTACAGCCTTCTGCAGATTACTTGGACTTCCGGAATCGCCTCCAGGCAGATTGTGTTTGCCTTGAGAACTGCATGTTGAAAGATAAAGCTATTATGGGTACGGTGAAAGTCAGGAATCTGGCATTTGAGAAGGCTGTCAAGATTCGGATGACCTTTGATACTTGGAAAACCTTCACAGATCACCCATGCCAATACGTGAAGGACACCTATGCCAGTTCCGATAAGGATACCTTCTCCTTCGATGTTAGCTTGCCAGAGCGGGTTCAAGCCCATGAAAGAATCGAATTTGCAGTGTGTTATGAATGTGATGGCAAAGTCTACTGGGATAGCAACAAGGGATTGAATTACAGGATCATACGCTCTGAACTCAAATCGGCTCGGGAGATTTCACAGCCTTGTAGTGAGCCGGATTTTGGGATTGCCTTTGATCAGTTTGGAAGCCCGCGGTGTTCTTATGGTTTATTTCCTGAATGGCCTAGCTATTCCGGATATGAAAAACTTGGTCCTTATTATTAAATCAGAGACTCGGGGTTATATTTGCTGCACAAGAATGAAGGGACAGAGATAGAAAACCCTCTTGGGAGGTGGTTGCAGAGTCAGAGTAGGCAAAAGAACTGCAGTTTGTACTTACAGAATGGAAACAAAGAGAAATGTGAAAACTCCTGGCTGCAAGGGTTTTTAGGGCAGAATCTCTCTTCGTGTTTCCTTTGGATTTAAACAAAAGGAGATGGTCTCCTGTGAGATGGCTGCCACAGATCGAATTCAGCACTTGGTGCTGTTGTTTGGGCAATTTGGTTTGTGTTTATCCTTTGAGATACATTACAGTATTGGTAGCTGTGCAGAATAGATTCCCCCCTCCTTTTTCCTTTCTGTATTCTGGAATCAAACTTGCTGTGCACCTCTCTGATAAAACCAACTCTCTGAGAAGAAACAAGATGCAGGGATGAGCTAAACAGTCTTCCCACTCCTCTCTTAATCAGATTGTACAATCTGTGAGAGGCTAAGAGTCCCAAATGAAAAGACTATAATTTTAGCTCAGATGATCCTTTGCTTCCTTCCATTTTAGGAATTTCCTTCTGTATGGGAAGATTCCAAAATGCTTACTCACCATTCTGCCTGTATCTCTTTTCCTAAACACATATGAAGATTTATTTCAGTGGCTGAGCCAGACGAGCCTATGTGGCCTAGTCACATAATCCACCCTTAACCGACCTGGTGCCCTCAGGATGTGCTAGACTTTAGTTCAATCTCCAGGCGGGACAGTCAGTGGCCTGGAGAAGGCTGATGTAGCATTTTAGCTTCCACAATAAGTAATTATTTTATTTAGGTGATTTTATTTATCTCCCTCCTCCCTTCTTTATTAGGTGGTGGTAGACTGTTAAGAATAAAATTGTTTTTAAGTCTTAACTCCTCATGACACCATCTTATTTACATTTAATTTTGTTCAGGCCTGTGGGCTTAGTCATCTGGGTGAAGAACATTTTAAAATTTCATTTTATTTCAAGAATTGTATAAAATGCCTATAAATTGAATGTTACTGACATAAATAAGATATGTCAAATAATGGATACCCACTCAATCCAGTTGTCTGTTGTCTTCCTCAATACACTTCTGCTCAGTAATAGGAGCATTTTAACTTGGTGGTAGAACAGACATTTTGAATTCAGACACAAGAATGCTTGATCTCTCTAGGGATATTAATACTTGGTTTCAGGCTTTTCCCACTAGGCTGGACTAGAACCAATTTAAAAATCAATTGTTTATCACAGCATAAAGAGGGTGGGCTATAGTCAATTAAAAAGCACAGAAAACACATCAAAGTCTAAAAAAAATTATTATACGAAGCTGAAAGACATAAAACAGAAAGTATATGCATAAAAACCAAAAGCCTGAAGGGAAGCTGAGAGAAATTTTAGGAGAATTAGAGGTGCAGGGGAGCTTAGAGATTAGTCTATAGCAGACTAAATTTATCACAGTACAGAGGACTATAGAATGATGAAGTGTTTTAGCAGAGTTAATATCTGAAAGAAGTAGGAAGATGTAGAATTGTCCTGTACAATTCTGGGTATTTATGCAATGATGAGCCTAGTGTGAATGTCTTCGTAGGACAGGCACTGGAGGAGTATGTGCTCTGTTGTTTCTATGTGTCCAGAGTCAAAGGGGCATGGTCTCTCTGAGTAGGGGATTTTCTGGTGTTGGCCTTCAACAGCAGTTTAAGTGATGGCAGGACAGTGTGGCAGAATGAATTAAACAGCCATTCAAGAATCCAGGAGCTTTATTATAGAAAAGTTAAAAGCCAGTATGAATGAATTCCAGTGACTACTGTGTGTCAAACATGAGTCCTTTTTATAATGAAATCAGTATTCAAATTCTTGTCAGTTTCTCCTGATTGAACTATGCAATGGGCTAGATTTCCCTTTCTTTTGACAGATATCCTGGTCTTTTCTTTGTTAATGGGCATATGTAGTATGAAATGAAATATCAATTTCCAATGTTCCTGAACTCTGGCAAAGTTGAGAGGGAAAGGATAGTTAACCAAAAAATGGTATATCGTTCCCTGCATGCAGAGCAAAACAATCAAAAATGTTCCTTCATCTCCATAAATTTATCACTAATTCCTTTCCAAAATGTTTTCCCCTATTGGTAGATACAGTAGTAACTACAGGTAATAGCCATGTTTTATCATTTATTGGGGCCAATCCTTCTCTGGTTCTTGTTTAACACTAAAGAAAGCCATTTAGACTTTCCACCTTGGGTTATAAATCCAACTGACTAGAAAGTTAACCCTTTTCAGTGCTTGTTTGTAGTGTCTATAACAAAATGGTGAAATTACTTGAAAACTCAAAAGATACACATACTAGAGTTTCATAACTCAACCTTCAAGCAAATCAGTTGTTCTGGTTCTATTCAATGGTGGTGACTGAATAAGTAGCTCGATAAATAGTTTTTCTGGGTGTGAAGTAGAACTGAGGATTTTAGATTTAGTATCTAATGTCCAAATGAAGTTCTTATGTTCCCTGTTCTGTCTGAAAAAAAATCTTGATTTGGAAAGGAGTTTGTGCAGGCTCCTATGCAATTTTGGAAAAGCAGCAGTGACCAAGCTTGATTACTTAGCATGACGCAAGAGCCTTGCCCTGGAATGTTAGCTTGTGGTTAAAAATGGGGAAAGTCTGTCAACATGCTACAGCTTGTTACTTAAGAAATATGCATATCCTGCATTTTCTTAACTCTCTATAATGAGTCCTGTCATTTTATTTGCATGCCTTCAACTTGAATTAAGATTTGGCACGGGAACTGTTAGAAACTGGGTATTAGAAACTTCAGTGCCAATACCGGATTGGTCTTAGATGTTGCTGCTTTAAAAATTAAAAATTAAGAAAAAAAACCTATGAGGACGGTGTGATCAGCAGTTGCAAGCCTGTTATGATAAAGATGGACTTGACTTCTCCTACATGCCATGGGTCTCTCATCCCATTGCCATTTGAAAAGTGAGAGCATGGCTTCTTTTGCAATGGGGTTTATTATGAGGAAAAGGATTTTGGGGCTGAGCCACTCCGATGGGGTAACTAATACTTTCTGTGAAGGGAAACTGAATCCTCTGGTTGGTTATATGCCAGAAAAAAATCATTTATTTTTTTACTTCCCCAAGAAACAACCAGTAATAAAATGCACACATTGACTGCTGCTTTAACTTAAATAGCAAGATTTTCAAAACCATTTGGAATGAAGCCACTGAACACAGCAGTACATACGTTCAAAAGAAATATGTATTATAACCTTTCTCTTCCTGAAGATCTCCAGATGCTACAGGAGATGATGGCTTGAGAAGCAGGAAAATGTGTACATTTGTAGTTAGAGAGTAGAAAATTAGTTTAAATTACAAGTTTGGGATTGCAAGTGGGAAGGTTACTATAGACTACAAAAATGTTTTAATCTTTGTGTATATTCAAGAAATAATCCCTGAAAGTCATGTGCAAAATCCATTCCTTCATGCAAATCAGCTGTTCACAACTGCCTTTTATGTTGAATTAATATGCCAGTAGTAAAAAACAAGCTGGTGAAAGTTCATGCATTATTCTTAATCTTCTGATCAGGACTATATGTGGCCCTATTTAGATACGGTTTCTTCCTGTAAGCCTTGAAACATGCCACATCTGTATAAATCAAGATCCCACTCACATGATCCATCCCTCTGTATTAATCCTTCATGTTCCCACCCTGTCTAGGGATTTGTTATAGGACAGAAATACCTCAAGTAACAACACTGAACTGAAGAACTCTGGACAAATCAAATATAAACCAGTTGAATTGTTTCAGTCCGAAAGTCTGGATTCTATATATCTCCTAATTCAATCTTCCAAAGGCCTTATGCTAGGTTGTAATGGTATGTAAAACTATCTTAAAGATTTACAAGAAAGTAGATCAAAGTATCAAACATCATGCCAAAGGGGCAAGAACACAATTTGCTGAACCCAAAGGTGAAAAATCTGAGTTTCTTGGACTGAATGTTCCTCTGATTGAATTTTAAAAACATGAGTAATTTTAATTATAACTAGTGCACCCCTGCACAAAGTCATAATGAAATTTGCTTGGTTTGGCTTTATTTTCTGGATGGCCATTGGGTTTATAAACCATGGCTTATTGAGGAGTCACACGTGAATCCAAATAATTGGCTTCTTTAGCAGACCTAGCTTATTGTGATGTGACTAGAAAGAAAGAAAAAAAATACTTAACAGTGTGAAATGCATAACCAGGATAGCTATAAGAAATGCACTTTTATTTCAGTCTTCTTTCCAAATTTTAAAGCCAACTTTTTGGACTTTTGTGTTTCTCTTGCCTGTATGAATGTGATGAGGAATAGTCCTTTTTTTTTTTGCTTCAGGATGCCTTGCATGTTGTTAAATATATTTTTTACACAACTGAAAAATGCACTTTACAATCACAATGGATTTATTTTGTGTAGTGTTTTTTGAAATGTTTTTATCTGAGAGCAAATAATAAACTGTTACAAATAAAACATCCATTGAGTTTTGCTCTTCTTTCAAACAGTAAATTAAAGAATTGGGGGGGGGGAGATACGGGGAACAAGACAGGGTGGGAACATGAACTCATGATGAGACAAAGAAAACTTTCCAAAAAGAAAACAAGATTTGGGACTTGTTCTAGATCAATGTTTCTTAAAGTGTGGTCCTAGGATCTACAAAATCAAAATTATTTGCCAGCTTACATGAAAAAAAAAGTGATGAATATGTCAGTTTAAAATTGTAATATAGAAAATATTGATAAAAATATTCCATTTTTTTAAATGGAAAGAGATCCTGAGAGAAAAAAATGTTTTAAGAAACACTGTCCCAGAAGACAGTTAAAAATGAAACCCTCAATTTACTTAACAGGAGTAACTCATGTTGAATTCAGTGGGACACAACTATGGTAGACATCTATAACAACACTAAGCATTGTTGTTTTTTAAAATGTGTTTTTTTAAACTCAAGAATAGCCAGTTACACTCCAGAGCAGGTCTATGATGGTTTATGCGGTGAAACATTTTGACACACTTTATGAGGTAAAACCTCACTTCAATCTTTTTCTAAAATGTAGAAATAAGAACTACAACCATTAACAGTTTCACTGTAGTCAATAAAATTTATTCTCAATGGAATTTTCTAGGACTGGAGTATACTTGAGCCTCCCCCAGTTTTGTGACATGCTACATCCATGCAAAAGAGTATGTACTTTATATAGCAAGTGATACCAACTTTTATCACAGAGTTTGACCTATTTTTTTAGGTTGTTCCAGATAATTACTGTATTTTGCCCAAAGTTATGGCTACCGATGGCAGATTTGATCAATACAAACTCATGTGAAGGGGACTAGATGAAGTTTGGGAAGAAGAGCTGAACCAATTCTCTGTATAGACATGGCTAGAAGGAAGGCACCCGAGATGCAGGGAACAGAATTGTGGCCATATGGATTCCCTAAACTAACTGCCTGCTGAAATGCAGTAGTGATACAGTCACACAGGGAGTGTCAAAGTCAGATACATAGGAGAAGAAGATGAGGCATCAAATTACCAATGTGAATTAGAAACAAAACTATCAAGCAGATAGCCCAATAACAACAAAAACAAATCTAACAGCAAAACTATCTAGGGACAAATGCAAAGAAACATTATTTGTTTCCACTCAATTGATTTGAATCTTCTCCTGTGGAATCTAAGATTTCATTTGGTGCACTGCCTTTCTTCGTGGTGTTTCCCCTTACCTTCTCTAGGTAAACTTTGCTAGATTCAGTATGTTCTAAAAATTGTCTAGCTGATTACCTATATCAGTGTTGGCGAACCTTTTCGGCACCAAGTGCCGAAACAGGAGCTTACCATGTGCGGGGGAGCACCAGAAACCGGAAGAGCAGCTCCCTGGCATGCATGTAGGAGTGCTGGAAACTGAAAGAGCAGCTTCCCCATGTGTGCAGTTTGCAGTGCACGCATGCACGCTGGCCACCTGGTCTTCTGGTTTCTGGCACACATGAGCACATGAAGGCCAGCTGGCCAGCGTGCATGTGTGTGACGGAAACCAGAAGCTTAGCTTCCTGGAATGCGCATGCGCACCAGGAAACTGCTTTTCCAGTTTCTGGTGCTCCCATGTGCGTGAAGACCAGCTGGCTGGCAAGCACACGCCGGAACCCGGAAGAGCAACAGGCGATGGCTTGCGTGCCCGGAGAGATGGCTCTGCATGCCACTTCTGGCAGACGTGCCATAGGTTCACCATCACAGACCTACAGTATATGGTCTCATGAAAAAAAAACTGGTGTAGGGTAATTGGTTGATTGATCAATTGATTGATTATGGGCCATTCATTCCTAGCAACTCCATAGCTTAAATGAGTAGGGTATTGCATTTTGAGATGACATAGCTTAAAGTCTCTCCCTCATCCCTGCCCTATAGGCTCCATACAGAAGTGTAGCAAATGACCGTTTGGGATTACCTCAAAAGCACTTGTGCAA